CTGCTTCTTTGAATTTCAGAGACTTAAATCTTTCCCAGAATAGACAGCATGATCTTTCTCCAGTTGAACTCCTAGTAGAGTCAAACTGATCATTGTGTGGTTGCTCACTCAATGCATAGCCCACCATGCTATCAGGACTCCTATTTTATGCTAAAGCAGTGTTTCCCAGCGTGGTGACACTGCTGCCCGAGGGGGGCCTGTCAAAGCAGATACCTAAATGTTTTTCTAGCTTTTGGATTAATGGATTTTTTTTTTTATTGCAGGGAGGTGTTGAGAAACTTATTCAGAAAGGGGGGCAGTAGGCTAATTAAGTTTGGGGTCCTATCCCCTAAAGTAAGGATAAATATGAACCTGTTATAACCTGCCAACAAATTCAACTTAAAGAGACATTTAAGAAGGGGTCTCATTTGTAACCCAGGGTTGTCTATAATTTTAAGCAAGACACAGGCACAGCTCTCTCAGACAATATTAGCTGAGATACTTACAGCTTGTTTTAGCAAATCATTTGCAGTTCCCGTTTAAGGCAATATTGAGAGTAATGGAAGCATCAATATGTGTGGATCACTTATTCCATGCTAACTACTAAAATAATTTTATTTCATTCCCTCATAACCATTAAGAGTTAAGTGTGCTCTTAACTGATGCATCAAAAATTTAAGACACTCACCATAGATCACTAAAATAGTAAATGGTGGAGTCCTGGAAGTGTAATGGTTACACTTTGGGCTGTGATCTGAAGGGTCACCAGTTCAAAACTAACAGTTGCTTCATGGGAGAAAGATGGGACTCTCTACTCCCATAAAGAGTTACAGTCTTGGAAGCTCACCCAGTCCTGTAGGGTCTCTAGGAGTCAGCATTAAGTCAATAGCAGTCAGAAGATTCGTACTCAATTCGAATATCTTAGTTGACTTAATACCGCTATAACAGAAAGACCACAATTAGTGGCTTTATTTATCTTCTCGCCATTTAGGAAGCTAGACTTTGAAAGTCAGTGTAGTGGCTTTATGGGAAGAATCTTTCTGGCAGTTCTGGGGAAACATCCTTCTTTATTTTCAGTTTCTGCTCCTTGGTTCCTTGGTGAACTTTAAGTGGCAGGATGTCTTTCTTTCCCCATCTCTGCCTGTGCTTCTGCTCTTGCTTGCTCAATCTGCTCTCTATAGCTCAAAAGAGACTAAGACATAGCTATGCTAATAATAAACATAACCAAGGAAATTCCCTCCCAAATGGAATTAGATCATAAGCATTGAAGTTAAACTTCATAACATCTATTTTTAAGGAACACAATACAATCCATAGTGCTGAGTAATTATTGACTGTGTGATTTTGGCAATTACTCTACAGAGTATTTAGTTGTCTTGTCAATGTCTAGTTCATGCCTGCAAATTCACTCTTAAAATTTTGGTTTTTAGTCATCTTGTATTTTTATTAATGTAAGTCCTCATAATTTATGACTCATGTTGTATTAGTCTAGGTACTTTAGAGAAAGAAATCCACAGTGTGTTAGACAGGGTTCTCTAGAGAGATAAAACCAAATTCCTGATAATATAATATATTTATTTATAAAGATAATTAGATATATAATGAGAAATGAACTGTTAAATCATATACAGATAAATATACAATACAAGAAATAAACATTTAAATTAGAAAGCAACTGACGTCCATGAGAGAAAGTTGAGAGACTAGCAGTCCTTCAAGTCTCTGTCTGATGCCAGATCTTCCTCTATTTGTAGAGAGAGCTAGGCTATGTCAGCACAGCAGCCAATCACAAGGCAGGTCACCAACCACCAGTCCCCAGCTCCAGAGAAGTCTTAAAGGGACCTCAACTTACAGCAACACAGTCCACAGGCTAGGCATCCCACAGGCTCTGTAGCCTTTAAATTAAAGCACAGAACAAGCAAGGCAGCTGCACACTGGTCCGATGCTCACAGAGCGAGAGACAAGAAAGGCAAGGCTCACCAAGCCATCCATCTCTCCGCCCCTCAGTCAATCCCACCTGCGTTTACCAGCCAGGCTGGCACAATAAACTATCTCAAACAGCAACTCATGTATGAGAGTGTGCATCACGAAAACATCACAACCCAATGCTGCCCAAGCCTACAAGTCCAACATTAACCCATTAACCCAACACCAGTCCACAAAGTCCTCCACCTCACAAAACAGAGGCGATGATGCCGACTGCAGGAGGAAAGCTGAGTCAGTGAACAGTGAACAGATAGGCATCTCAGCACTAGCAGGGGTCTCCACACAGCTGCTCCAGCACCCAGAGCTGCATCGGGATAGGTCCATGTGGCTTCTCCTTGGGCATGTCTTGTAGGAAGTCAGTCTTGCAAGCTGAAGCAAGGAACTGCTAAGGCAGCTGCACCCTGGTGCGACCATCACAAAGCAAGAGACCTGAGAACTAGAAAGGCTAGGCTCACCACCCATTTATCCCTCCGCCTTTCAATTAGCCCCACATGTGTTTATCGGCCAGGTTGGCACAATTAACTAACTCACTTGTCATACCCTATCTTGAAATTCAGAACTTCTTGCTTTGGTTGTATTCATAGACCTTCACCGTTTCTTGATGGACATTTTGACTGCTAACCATCTCCTCGAGAGCTATTGCTATCGATAGACTCTACCACCTGGTCTGAACCTAAACCTTCCTTCCAGCACCATCCCCAGATTCTAGGCCCCACATTGTTTTCCTCTGGTCTTTTCATTCATCTTGCTCTTTCTGAAGGGGCTCAACCAAGATTTTCTGCTCTAACTTTTCATACTAACTCTGGGGTAATCTTAGTCCTGAAACTACTGCACAATAAATGAATTATTTCTCAGTATTTGACCACAGTCATGTGTTTATTTATTCCCAGTGCGCTCAATAGATATGAAAAAAATTTGAAGAGCTGAGAATTTAAGAAGCCATTAAACCTTTCAACTGTGTTTTAAAAAAGGAAACTACCAACTGGAGTGTTTACCTGCGTCTCTTTTAATCACTGAGATTTTTGTGGAGAGTCATTGCATTGATTGTTTTGTGATATTTTGAAAGAACTATTTTATGACATTAATATTCTTGTACCATATGCCATTCAGTGTAGGTAAAGTCGACTTTTAATTAATGTTTTTGTTTTCTTGCGATTTGTCTTGATTTCATTAATTTACATATCACTAGACATTCTGAATTTTGAACAGATTCATTTAACTGTTCATTCTTTTTCTTTTGTGTCTTCCATAACTTTTCTATATTTTCTCTGCTTCAGATTTTTACAAATTTTTGTAAGGAAAATATTTGTCTGTAATTAGTGAACCTTTGTCATAATTAGTGAACCTTAAATATGTTTTTTTTCCTTCTCCAAATAAAATAGAAGATCCATGTGTACAAGCAGGCTAACCCTTTGAGGAATGCGCCTTGTAAGTCTGCTAATTGTTGGCTGGCATTGAGCATTCATAATGAAAGATGAATGTTCTTTGATTTTGACAAATGTCAAACCAGCCTGAAGTAATACTTTTCTTAAAAAAAAAAAAAAAAAGACTGATGATGCCAGTAGACTGAACATGCAGACTCCAAAATGGGCCTTTTTCTCCTCCCACCTAATGAATGTAAAGCAGGAGTCACAAAGCATACTGCCAGAAGCAGCAAGGATTCTAACAGATAAACGAAGCATTCTTAAAGAAGGGAAAGGAACGCTGATGA